ATAGATAGATAGATAGATAGATAGATAGATAGATACGCAGAGATAGGATAGATAGATAGATAGATAGATAGATAGATAGATAGATAGATAGATAGATAGATAGATAGATACGCAGAGATAGATATGCAGAGATAGATGGATGGATGGATGGATGGATGGATGGATGGATAGATAGATAGATAGATAGACAGATAGATAAAGATAGATAGATAGATAGATAGATAGATAGATAGATAGATAGATAGATAGATAGATAGATAGATAGACAGACAGACAGATGATGGATGGAGATATAGAGATAGATATGGATGCATGGATAGATAGATATAGACAGATAGACAGACAGACGCTAGCTAGCTAGCTAGATGATGGATGGCTAGAGATAGAGATGGAGATAGAGATGGATGGATGGATCGGTCGGTCGATCGATCGATAGATAGTTACAGTGATGGGATTCAAATATGTGAACAACCAGTTCTCTGTGGAAGTCCATTCTGGGCCTGGACAACAAAAAATTAGCTACCGGTTTTGCCGAAGTGGTGCGAACTGGCTGAATCCCAACACTGGTTACAAGTGACGATCACGTGGCCCCAGGACATGCTAGTTACTAGGCAAATAAACACATGCTAGTTGCTAGCCACCCAAATTTTGATCACGTGTGTGGCAGATGCTGCGATGGTCGTAAGTTGAAGACCCATCACAGGTTGCTTTTTTTCAGTACCGTTCTGACTTTGAATGGTCGCTAAAAGAATGGCTGTTAAGTCGAGGACTACCTGTAAATGAATGGTTGTAAGTCGAGGACCTTGTGTTTCAAATCTGCTGCCAGTAACCTCTTCTCTGTTCTACCAGTTCCCGAGTTTTTCTTTTATGGGGAGGCTTTTTTCACCCGTATAATTCTGCAATCAGCTGCTTCCCTACTTTGGCCCCCCGTTATGATTGACAGGTGAACGCAGGTGATGGGCATTCGCTCCTTCTCTCTTGCACATATGCACACGTCTACACACAGCCACAGCCACTGAGCAGGTGTGAACAAGCCGAGCCTCCCGATCACTTCTGCCACTCCTCTGCAGCAGCCAGCGGCAGGCGATGGGAGGGAACACTGGGCTGCCTCGGTTCTTCTGACAGAGGCCGGGAAAGAAGGAAGGAGTAATGATAACCCTTGATATAATCTTCCTGGGGATGGAGGTCCGTGGGGACACTGGAGAGGTTGGAACGCACAGATGTGGAGAGCTGGGGCAGAGCCGAGGAACAGCTGGCGGTGGGGGAGGCCCGCTCTGACTTCACACTGATTTGGGTGTGCAAGGAAGGTGAGGTGGGGACTAGAGAGGTCTGGTCACAAATCCGACTTGCTGTTCTGTAGGGAAAAAGAAATATATTATGTATACAGGTAGTCCTCAATAGACAACCACAATTGGGAGCAAAATTTCCGTCGTACGTTGTGATCGCAATTTGAGTCAGATCCGATTTTATAACCAGGTTTAAGATGGTTGTTAAGAGAATCATTGCGATTGTTAAGTGAATTTGCGGTCGTTAAGGGAATGCCATGGTCTTAAGTATGAACCAATTCTTCCAAATGGATCCAATTTGCCGAAAATCAGCAAAAAAGGGTCACAAATCGTGACTGCAGGCCACTGCAATCAGTCTGTTGAAGGAAACATTCATCATGGTTCAGTCCAAGCCGGGAATAAACAACATGGCGACTGCTTTAGAAAGAGGGTTGCAGTTTATTGGAGAGGAGAGCCAGGCAGAAAGATGGCTCTGGAAGAAAAGAGAGAGAGAGCACATGTAGGGAGTGGGTTTTTATACCCTCTGGGGCTCTTGAGGTTATTTCCTGTTCCTGTCTGAGGCTTTGTATTTCCTGTGTCATGAATTCTGACCTGAGTCTGAATGTGCCCCTTTGGCATCTGTGGGTTAATCCTATTGTGTCCTGTCTTAGAGTTTGGGTGGGGTATGTAGATTTTAGGTGTCTTTGTCTTCCTAAGCTTCTAGCTGGAGGGCTCCAACCTTCCTGAATGGATTATTACATCTGCATTTCTACAGAGCTGGTTTCTGCTTGGGGGAGGGAGACCTGGGGCTATTAAGAAAAAACTGGGCATGCTTTTCTGCCTCTTTAAGATCCTTTGAGAAATATAATATTTTGCCCTTTTAATATTTCCTTCTCTGGGGGGCTGACTTCCCACAAGTCGTAAACGCAAAGTAGTCATCAAACACCCAAAATTGTGATCACATGATCATGGGGATGATGCAGTGGTCGTAACTGCAAGGACTGGTCGTTTAAGTCTGAGGACCAGATTTTTTTCAGCACCGTTTTGTAACATTGGACGATCACTAAACAGATGGTCATAAGTCAAGAAGTACCTTCAGACAAATCTGTTTATATTCTGAATTCTTGGGGAAGAGATGCATTTTTCTGTTAAAGCACAAGATGAATCAAGCTATTCTAAGTTAATTGGCTCTAAAACCCACCCACCCCTTCACACAAACCATTGTTCCTTTATCAGTGCTTTTTAAAAAAAAAAAAAAAAAAGGTGCCAGAATTCGCACACGTCATACAACCCTCCTTGCCTACCCTACAAGGTTCCATCCAAAAAAGGTGCCGGAACTCTGTTCTGGGTGTTCTATGCGGAAAAAAAGCCCTGTCCTTTATTATTGTCACTTCCTGTTGTCGACCAGCTTCCAAAAATCACTCTTTTGTTTTGCATCACAATCAGATTCCAGGGTTTTTGAGTGCAGGAATTGCTCACTGTGGATACTGAATGTGGCCACAAGATGGCAGCAGGATCTTGCTAATGATTTGGTTTATCCGGTTTTGCATCAAATTTATTGGAGAAGTAAATCATGGATATTTTTTCAGAACTTCTCATGGGACACACACCTGCATGTGCCTTTAGCCCCAGGAAGTGTCCAAGGTTCTCCTCATCTAAACAGGAACACCTGGCTTTCAGATTATCTAGTAATCACAGTCCTGGAATTAATTAGTCCAGCATAAACGAGGAGGGTTGGATTAGCACCCAGAGCAAGCAGCAAAAGCTTCAGAGCCATTGCCTCTGAAGCAAAATAAGCATCATCACTATAAACTCGAGATCAGATAGATCCTTTCCTCTTTTATACCACTTCATCCTGGAGGAAAATAACAACTAGACCACCAAAGGCTTCTATTCCTGGGCAACGTCCAGCATTTTTATCAATAACTTTAACGAAGAGAAGGACGAGGGGGGAACATGATAACAGTGTTCCAATATCTCAGGGGTTGCCCCAAAGAAGAGGGAGTCAAGCTATTCTCCAAAGCACCTGAAGGCAGGACAAGAAGCAACGGATGGAAACTAATCAAGGAGAGAAGCAACCTAGAACTAAGGAGAAATTTCCTGACCGTTAGAACAATTAACCAGTGGAACAACCTGCCTCCAGAAGCTGTGGGTGCTCCAACACTGGAAGTTTTTAAGAAGAGACTGGACAGCCATTTGTCTGAAATGGTATAGGGTTTCCTGCCTGAGCAGGGGGTTGGACTAGATGACCTCCAAGGTCCCTTCCAGCTCTATTCTATTGTAATCTTGGCAAACAGTCAAACAGTTGTCCACTCTATTTTTCTAAACCTCCAGTGAGGCTAAGACAACAGCTGGATTCCCGTAACACCCTGAAATGTAACTATCCAACACCACATTTAGCCTACTTGAGCCTTGTGTGGATTTAGGCACAAAGGGGTTTCCGTGCAGCTGTTGGTCACTCTTTGCTCAGGTCATCGCAACTTGCCACTTCTTACCCTGGCATCGGATATTCTCGGGGTTGCCAAGCTGCTGTGGTGTTTCCTTGGAAGCCAAAGGGGTGTGGGGTGCTTTCCCCTAAAGCATATTCTGAAAGTCAATCAACAAAAAAAACAAGAAGGCAGACAAATATTAACACTGAAGATCTAGTGGGACGTTTAAAGAATCCAAAATAAACAAGTCTGACATGGTATAGGGTTTTTTGCCTGAGCAAGGGGTTGGACTAGATGACCTCCAAGGTCCCTTCCAACTTTATTATTTTATTATTGATCATCGCACAGTCAGCCAGATATTCAGACTGGATTTGGCATTTTTGTCTACCTATCGAGTCCTTACCCAGGACCTGGGATAGGCAGATGTGGATGTTTGATGGTATTACAGATATCGTCGCAGGATGGAGGCAGTTCCTAGAAAGGCTGCCTTTTGCAATTGACTAATGGCGAATTTGTCAATGCCAATGATGTTCAAGTGGTGCTCCAGTTGTTTTGGGATTGCACCCAAGGCGCCTATTACTATTGGTACTACCCTTACTTGCCTTTGCCACAGTCTTTCTAGTTCTATTTGTAGGTCTTTGTATTTTGTTATCTTCTCCAGTTCTTTCTCGTCTATTCTGCTGTCTCCAGACACTGCCACGTCCACTATCCAGACTTTTTAAAGTCTTTCTTATCGACAATTGTTAAGTCCGGGGTGTTATGTTGCAGATGCTTCCATCCTTCCGAAGTTGGTAAAATGAGGACCCAGATTGTTGGGGGCAAGAGGCTGACTCTGTAAACCGCTTAGAGAGAGCTGTAAAGCACTGTGATGCGGTATATAAGTCTAATTGGGTATGCCTAGTTTAATGAAGAGAAGGACGAGGGGGGACATGATAGCAGTGTTCCAATATCTCAGGGGCTGCCCCAAAGAAGAGGGAGTCAAGCTATTCTCCAAAGCGCCTGAAGGCAGGACAAGAAGCAACGGGTGGAAACTAACCAAGGAGAGAAGCAACCAGGAACTAAGGAGAAATTTCCTGACACTGAGAACAATTAACCAGTGGAACAACCCGCCTCTAGAAGCGGTGAATGCTCCAACACTGAAAGTTTTTAAGAAGAGACTGGACAGCCATTTGTCTGAAACGGTATAGGGTTACCTGCCTGAGGAGGGGGTTGGACTAGATGACCTCCAAGGTACCTTCCAACATTATTATTATTATTGTTGTTGTTGTTGCTATTGCTATTGCTACCAGGGTTAGGACTTAGAAACTTAAGCAAGCATAGGTGCCAGAAGCTCACTAGGATTGGCCTTGAACAGTATGAGATGAGGTTTTTCATTCACACCTAGAAACCCTGTGTGGACCATACCTGATGGGGTGGAGGAGAGGAAGGGGTATCCTGGTAGCCCACGTCCAGGGAGACCTCCAGTGGGCAATACGGGACTCAGATTCTGAAGCCCTGGAGGATACAACGGGCGCTGTGGGGAAAGAGAATCAAGTTGAGATCACCTCCTGTAATATTTTTCATCTACTAACCCAGGGGTAGGCAACCATGGCTCTTTTATGACTCGTGGACTTCAACTCCCAGAATTCCTGAGCCAGCATGGCTCAGCTTGGAAACCTCTCCCTTTCCCCTCAGCATGGCTGGCTCAGGAATTCTGGGAGTTGAAGTCCACGAGTCATAAAAGAGCCAAGGTTGCCTACCCCTGTTTAACTAACCCATCAAATGTTCTTTTCAATAGAGGACAGTATCTGCAGAACAGGGTTGGATTGTGGAATTCCTGGTGTCTCCTGAGTTTGGTTGTTTCCTTGCAGACATTTCGTTACCCAACTAGATAACATTATCAGTGTCAGGGAGTGTGGAGCTTGGTCCCTGTTCATAGATAGAGCAGTTTGCTTTGCCAGTTTGGGCAGGGATGTGGCTTCCTTCACATGGCCCAATAAAATGGCCATTTTTGCTCAAAGTTTTATCAATACACATTTGTGTATCAGTACAGGCTGTCCTTGACTGACAACTATCGAGCCCAGAATTACAATTCTAAGTCGGCAAGTCAGAACATGACCGTGTCTGATTTTATGACCTTTTTAGCAGTAGTTATTAAGCGAACAGTGTGGTTGTTAAGCAAAGGCTGCTGTTAAACAAATCCATTATACCTAAGGGGTATTGTTGTTTTTTGCCAGAAATTGGAAACCAGAAAAAAATGCCCCAAATTGCATTTATTTGACCATGGGACACTATGAAGGGTCATCAATACAAACCAGTTGCCAAGTACCAAAAACGCAATCACATGACTGCATGTGTGTGTGTGTGTCGGCCTCAGCGCTTCAAAAACAGGTCATAAGTAGTGGGGGGGAGGGGCACTGTAATTTCGAATGATTGCTAAGCAAGCAGTTGTTAAACAAGGACTACCTCTAATGCAGAAGAGAAGGTATATCATGTAAGAAAAGAAGTGGAACAATGGCCAAGCGCCTGAATTTCGATCACGTGACGCTGGGGATGCTGCAACGGCCGTGTGAAACACGGTAATAAAGTCACTTCTTTCAGTTGTAAATCATGGTTGTAAATCAAGGACAACCTGTATTCTATTCCACCCATTACTGGCTTTAGCCCTGCGTTAAGAGTCATGGTGGCGCAGTGGTTAGGATGCAGCATTGAAGGCTAATTCTGCTGACTGCCGGCTGCCAGCACTTCGGCAGTTCAATCCTGACCGGCTCAAGGTTGACTCAGCCTTCCATCCTTCCGAGGTCGGTAAAATGAGGACCCAGATGGTTGGGGACAACAGGCTGACTCTATAAAACAGCTTAGAGAGGGCTGTGAAGCACTGTGAAGCGGTATATAAGCCTAAGTGCTATTGCTATTTATCTGCATATGACTTTTACCCTCTTGGCATTGGCCTGTGTCTCTTGCCCAGAAGTTGAATCTTTGGATCATCTACCTCAGGGGTCCCCAACCCCCAGTCTGTGGACCAATACCGGGCCGCAGCATGCCAGCAACCACTCTGCACAAACAAGCAGAGCCCCATCCGTGGGATGCAGGAAGCACACAAAACCACACACCCTCAGGTCTGCGGAAAAGCCTCTCTCCACAGAACCGGTCCCTGCTGCCCAAAAGGTTGGGGACCTCTGATCTACCCCCCCAAAAAACAGATGGATACTGTAAGTTACTCACAGTGGATGTTAGATTGTTCCTGCTTGCAGAAGGCCGTCCTTCCACCCGATGGGAGTCAGCCCCCAGGTAGAGCGGAGGAGGGGTTTTGCTCGACAATACACGGCTGAGGTTGCTGTGGGAGAAGATAGAATACCCGATACCTGCAGAGTCAGAAAAGGGATGAAATTCAGGCTGATGACGGCCCAGAAGACGTAGCTCCTGTTTGTAAGTGGGCAGCGGCCTGTAGTCCCCCGCCAAAGCCCCATTCCTAGATCCCCTGTCGTACCAAAATGCTGAAATGCTGTAGTACCACTTGTCATGCAAGTGAGCAGGAAACCACCCTTGAAATAATTATATAACATTTTGGGAGTTGACGTCTTAAAATTGTCAAGATTGGACACTCCTGGGCTAAACAGACCCAGTCCCTTTAGGTCTTCTTCATAGGATTTAGGATTTATCTCCATCCTCGTTGTTCTTCTCTGCACTCCTTCCAGCTTCTCAATGTCAATGTAAGGACCTGACTCAAACCCTCTTCCCAAGAAAGCAGAACTCCTGGAACAGCTTCTATCCAAAAGGAACTTTTATTAGGAGAAGCTGACAGCAGGCACAGAAGGCAGGATCTGAGAGTTTCCCACGCGAATCAATAGGTTAAAAGAGTAACTGGCAAACCCCACCCCAGCAGTCAAACCGGCCAGTTCAAATGGCCCAATCCCCAGGTGTGAATTCGCCATGGGAACGGGGTTAATAAGGCGCCATTCCCAAGGCTGTCAGGCTGTTCGGTCTTCACGCCTCTTCTTCCCTAGCTAGAGAAAAGGCAAATGTCTGGAGGCACATTCCTTTCTCATCCCAGGCCGGCATCAAGGGAAATAGATCAAAGAGCAAGCAGATAGATGAAAGTGGAGAGGATACATTGTAGTGCCCATAGCTCCCCCCTGAATTATGGCAGAATCCGCAAGAATAAAGAAATCACCCCCCCTCCCAACAACCAGGTCTGATAGTCACTCTTATATGGTGGAGATGCGGATGTTGGATTCCAGTTGCAGTCTGACTAGCAAGAGAAAAACTGTCACTTCCCATCATCTCAACATTATTCCTTTGTTGATGCAGCCCAAGCCGTAAGTGGAGGACTACCTGTACTTGGAGAGGTGAAACCGAGGCATCTTATACGGCCCCTTTACCTGGTCCAAGGGTGGCTGGAGACCGCACCGAAGGGAAGGCTGCTTTGGGAAGAGTCGGCCTGAACTGCTGCAGACGGTTCTGTTGAACAGGAGATTCAGCTGAATTGCACACACCACCCTCGCTCCCGGATTGGGGAGTTCCCATGGATGCCCCCTCGAGACTCGACAGGGAAGCAGCCGACTGGAAGGAAAAACAGGTCATCGAAAAGATCAGGAGGGGGAAAACGTGATTATTCGGGCTCTTTTGAAGTAGAACGGAATGAGCCTGTCTACTGAGGACGTCCTTGGAAGATCTGTCGAAAATCTTCTTCTGGATCAGTGGTGTCCAAGGCTTGGCAATGTTAAGATTTGTGGGCTTCAATGCCAAGGATAAATACAGGCCGTCCTCAAGTACGACCACAACTGAGCTCAATGTTTATGTTGCTACACGAAACATTTACTAAGTGAGTTTGCCCCATTTTACAACTTCTCTTGCCGCAGTTGTTAAGTGTAGTCAGTGGCTGCAGTTGTTAAGTTAGTAACACGGTTGTTAAGTGAATCTGGATTCCCCGTTGACTTTGCTTGTCAGAAGGTTGCGAAAGGGGATCGCATGACCCCCCCCCAGGACACTGCAACCGTTTTAAATATGAACCACTTGCCAAGCAAGTGGTTTTGATCATGTGATCATGGGGATGCTGCAATAGTTGTAAGTGTGAAAAATGGTCATAAGTTACTTTTCCCAGTACAGTTGTAAGTTTGAATGGTCACTAAATGTTGTAAGTTGAGGACTACCTGTATTTTCAGTCTGGACTGGACTGGACTGGGCTAGAATAGAACAGAACAGAACAGAAATTGGAATGAAAGAATTAGAACAGAACAGAACAGAATAGGAATTGGAAGGGACCTTGGAGGTCTTCTAGTCCAACCCCCTGCTCAGGCAGGAAACCCTATACCATTTCATACAAATGGCTGTCCAGTCTCTTCTTAAAAACTTCCAGTGTTGGAGCATTCACAACTTCTGGAGGCAGGTTATTCCACTGGTTGTTTTCATGGTTCCAACGTTACATTTATTGTTTCATTTCCACATCAATGGGGCAGTGTGTGTGTATGTGTATTGGTGAATCCAAAGAGTTCACATGATGAAATGTGCAGGTTATTACGTATAAAATTCTCCTCCTCTATGCATGATACAGATTTTATATGACATGCAACTTCTGGCAAGCAATTTCTCCCACCACAATGTGTCCTCTCCTTTATGACTACCAATATATGCATTTTAAAACATCAGTTCCATTTATACTTTTGAACTCGTGACTCTGTTGCAACAGTTAGAAAAGTAAAAAGTGAGCACATTTCTTGGCTAGCCTATTCAAAGTCTGTTCTAGTCTGGCTGGAAGCATTTTTATAAGGATTCTGGAAGTTTTCCAAGCTAAGTTTGGAACAGTTCCAATCCAAAAGGCTCAAAATAATATCTGAATCCTTCCACTACGGTCAAAACTTTCCAAATGCTTAAGAGTAGTTTGTGTGCAACCTGCCTTGTACATCTCTACTATGCATTTTTTTTAAAAAGCATTTTGAACCTACTTTTAGGGGGCAAATGAATGGAAAATTCATAGCAGGACCTGTACAGGTGGTCTTCAACTTACGACCACAAGTGAGCCCAAAATTTCTGTTGCTAAGCAGGATAGTTTTTAAGTGAATTTTGCCCCATTTTCTTGCCACAGTTAAGTGAATCATTGCAGTTGTTAAATTAGTGACATGGTTGTTAAGAGAATCTGGCTTCCCCCATTGACTTTGCTTGTCAGAAGGTTGCAAAAGGTGTTCACGTGACACACACACACCCTGGGACACCGCAACCATCATAAATATGTGCCAATTGCCAAGTATCTGAATTTTGATTGTGTGACTATGAGGATACTGCAACAGTTGTAAGTGTAAAAATTGGTCATAAGTTACTTGTCAACGCTGCTAACATTGGATGTTCTTGCTCTGACAACATATGGAGATGCAGCCATTTTCTTTCTTATGTTTTACTCTTAGAATTAGAGTTGGAATTAGATGATACTGGGGGGGAGAAGGAGGAATGTGTATGGGAATTAGTTAGACATAACAATATTGTAACTACGGTGAGAACCAAGGTTTTTTAAAATAAGAGATGATAAGAAATGGCGGTAGAAGAACAGGAGGGAAAGCCTGCATTTCAAACTAATTGGAGAATGTGATTTATGACTGTTAATTAGAGGAGGGAATTGTGCTTGATACTATGTGCTCAGGGGAGGGGAATTCAGATTTTGGCTTTGCCATGTATGTGCTGATGCTATGTTACTCGAATAAAGATTCTTTAAGGTAAACAATGCCTCAAAGTTCTTTGAAGAGTTTCATCTGTCGGAACCATGACATTACTTTTTTCAATGCCGTTGTACCTTCGAACGGTCACTAAACACACTGTTGTAACTCAAGGACTACCTGTGGCAGTTTTTTTTTATCCCAAGCAATACTCACGCTCAGTTTTGGACGGGCTAATCTAAGGTCCATTCCTTCATCAAGCTGCCTCAGTTTCTCAGCTGGATCCAAAGCTTCTACAAGATCCAGTTCTGCACCTTCAAAGCCCAGGCCTTTTCGTTTCAGGGTCTGCAGCAATTTAAAAACATTAATGATATAGATGTAAAATCAAACAAATATAATGCTAATCAAGGAGAGAGGCAACCTAGAACTAAGGAGAAACTTCCTGACAGTTAGAACAATTGACCAGTGGAACAACCTGCCTCCAGAAGCGGTGAATGCTCCAACACTGGAAGTTTTTAAGAAGAGACTGGACAGCCATTTGTCTGAAATGGTGTAGGGTTTCCCGCCTGAGCAGGGGGTTGGACTAGATGACCTCCAAGGTCCCTTTCAACTTTATTATTATTATTATTATTATTATTATTATTATTATTATTATTATTGCTATTAAATAAAGCCAAAAGTGCGCCCAATTTGTGTTCGGCTTATACAGGTAATCTTTGATTTACGACTGTAATTGAACCTGAAATTACAGTTATAACTTAAGGCGGTCATTAAGTGGGTCACCATGTGACTCCACCTGATTTTATGATCTTTTATGCGGCGGTCATTAAGCAAATGCCATGGTTGTTAAATAAACGCCGCAGCCATGAAGTTAGGACTGCCTATATTCCCTAATGGATAGAAAGCACTTCTCAAGCTTTACAAAATTCATTTCAATAGAAAAACAGAGTTGGAAGGGACCTTTGGAGGTCTTCTAGTCCAACCCCCTGCTCAGGCAGGAAATCCTATACCGTTTCAGACAAATGTCCAATCTATGCTGGGAGTGGTTTTGGAGTGGTCTGTCACTGACACAGCAAGACACTAGTGCAGGGGTCTGAAACCTTGACAACTTTAAAACTTGTGGACTTCAGCCCCCAGAATTCCACAAGTCTTAAAGTTGTCAAGGTTGTAGACCCCTGCACTAGAATATAAACTGAGATCAAACCCCACTCCCTACTAGTACTGATCATGTTACCTAGTTTGGGTAATGAAACGTCTGCAAGAAAATAACCAAGCTCAGAGACCACCCTCATTTCAACCCTGACCTACAAATATGGTCATTAAGCGAGGAGTATCTCAACACTGTTTTGTTTATCAAACCACATGACTGCATTTCTAACATAGAGGAGTTAAACGGTATGGCAAATTATACATCAACAGCCCACGTATTGTTTGCCAACTTTAAAATGCAGACAATGCATCAGATTCGTTATTTAAAAAAAGATGGATTTGGTACTGATTGAAGGGAATATTTTTAGCTCAGGGCTGGGCTATGGGGTCCTCTATGCTCTCTAAGCTTGGCTGTTACCACTTATTTGTCACTGATGATGTTACCTAGTTGGGTTAACGAAACATCTGCAAGAAAACAACTAAGCTGGTTTCTGATATTCCAAAATCCGAAGAGCCCTTTGAGGAAGCTAAATTTTAGTGTCTATGGAGATTCTCAGTCATCCAGGGCACACTTCAAACCTCAACACAACATACGTGCACACTTCAAACCCAAGAATACACTAAGACAGCAGCTGGTCCACCCCAAGGATAAAACACTCAGTCACAAACTGAGCAATGTGGTATATGCAGTACAATGCAGTGAGCCACATGCAGATCTGTACATTGGGGAAACAAAACAACCCCTTCATAAACGCATGGCACAACATAGGACAGTGATGGCGAACCTTTTAGAGACCGAGTGCACAAAAACTGGCCCCGCCCCTGCTCCACCCTCCTGCCCCGCCCCCGCTCCGCCCCCCATCCCGTCCTACCTGCCCACAGGACCACTCACTGCCTCCAGGGCCCACCGCAGATCGCCCAGGCAGCCCAGCAGCGCTATGGCGGCCACACCCTCTGCCCGTGCCCTGCAGCATCAACTGCATGATGGGCCACGCTCGGGGGCGACTCTCCTCCAGGGGGGCTGCTGGAGAGGAGGGGGTCGCGGGGGGAGGCAAGGCTGGGGCAACGGCACGTGTGCCCACAGAGAGGGCTCCGAGTGCCGCCTCTGGCACCCGTGCCATAGGTTCGCCACCACTGACATAGGAGAACAAAACCATCAGGACAAGATTCAGCAGTCCATCTGCATTTAAAAGGCAAAGGTCGCTCTTTCGAAGATAGCAAAGTCCACATTTTGGACAGAGAGGACTACTGGTTTGAAAGAGGGGTCCAAAAGGCCATCTATGTCAAAACTGAACAGCCCTCTCTCAACAGAGGGGGACGGATATGACACCATCTATCTCCAGTCTACAACACAGTCCTTTCAGCAGTTCCAAGAAGGCTCCCCACCCATTTGCACTACTCAGGTGACCCTGAGGACACAGATAAGCCTCCAAGTGGCCTCAACGACTCTCTAAAACAGAGGTCCCCAACCTTTTGGGCACCAGGGAACGGTTCCACGGAGAGAGGTTTTTCCGCGGGCCGGAGAGTGCGTGGTTTTGTGTGCTGCCTGCATCTCGCAGATGGGGCTTTGCTTGTGTCATGTGTCTGATTAACGAAACACTTAAAAGGACTTTCAGGCATATTTTTTCCTAAAAGCATTTATTAAGGTTACAGAGACGTCAGTACGGCATGGTGGAAATGCTTAGATCTGGATTCTTTTCCGTTACACATACATTCTAAGCATTTTTCCCCGCCCCTATTTTGGGGTCATGGTTCACATCTTCCAATTAACTT